ACTCCGGGGACGCTGTAAAACAATGCGGACACCCAGTAAGCAAGGACCAGCGAAAATAGCCCAGCCACCAGGCCATACCATCACAACATCCCGCACGCCACATAGACCGCAAGAGTCCAAGCCACGGCCCCCCCCCCGGATCGAATCCCCCCTGGCCCCTGGGACGAATCATTTTTCTCAATTTTATCGTTTGGATTCGAATGAATCTGCTGCTGTTTGGTGGTTGCTGCTGCTGCTGCTGCTTGGTGTGCTGCTGCTGCTGCTACTGCTGCTGCTGCTGCTGCTGCTTGGTGGTTTGCTGCTGCTTGGTCTGCTGCTGCTGCTTGGTTCTCAAGTTTAAAGAAACAAAAAGCTCACCTTGTGATCAAAGGGTTTTACTATGAACCCCTCAGATGGCAGGGTAGACAAAACTGTAAAGAGAAGATCAAACAAGATCAAGATCATGTCTTTGATGTTCATGTCGCTGACCGAGATGATGGCGACGCCGCTGTTGCTCTGCTGGATAGCCTCATTTGTGCTTAGGCATCAGCGTGCCGATGTAAACAGGGCTATTGCAGCGTGCAGAGCCTTGACGTTGGTGGAGAGGGCCATTCAAGCATTTTGGGCCTTACCACGGGACCTCACTCGGAGCCTGACAAAAGCCCAGCTTCAACTCACAGCGGCTGAGCGGGCCTTGCAAACTGAGTTGGCTTTCTTGTCCCACAATTGTGGACAGCGATTCTACTTTGATCGCTTTACGTGGCTGCGTGAGCAACCGCTTCGCGAGAACTGGGAAAAGGAATGGCGCAACTGTGCCGACCTCTTCCAACAGGATGTCGAGAGGTTGTTAAACACCATCGGCCTACAGCAACAATTCTTAGTCTTCCTCGGACTCCGTAAGTTGGCAACTGCGTTCGATGAGTTGGCCCAAATATGCAGGTGGCCACTCGGAATTTTCATCCGTGACGCTGTCCAGTCAGCTCAGTGGAGGCCTGACTTTGAACCTCCCAAGAAGTAAAGAGGTGCTTGTAGTGTTTTTCATTCATGATGATGATCCACAAGAAGATCAGCATCATGATCTTAAACCTAATCGATATTCTTTTCTTTGATGATGTTCATGCTGGTGATCACGTTGACGAAAAAGCTTGGAACAACATGTTCATTGCTGAAGCGTAGTAAAAACCTGAAGTCACAACAAACACAACTTGGACCTGATCAAAACTTTTTTTCTGATGATGATCATGTTGGTGTTCAAGGTAATGAAAAGCAGTGTAACAGTGTCGAACAAGGCTGTAGTTTCGAAGGATGATGAAAGCGTTGTGGTCTTAATGGTGGCCTTCATGATGAACAAGGTTTTCATCTTGAAGACAACCACAGTGGTGCTTGTTTTGATTTTCATTTATGATGCTAAGATTTTGAGGACGCTCAAGATCATGTCTTTGAGGTTTATATTCATGACCAAAATGATGAATAACGATATGATCATGATGGCAGCCTTGATTTTGAACAAGGTCTTCAATGGCGAAGAGAAGTAAAAGAGGTGCTTGTAGTGTTTTTTCATTCATGATGATGACCCACAAGAAGATCAGCATCATGGTCTTAAACCTAATCGATATTCTTTTCTTTGATGATGTTCATGCTGGTGATCACGTTGACGAAAAACAGTCTGGAACAAAATGTTCAGTGTTGAAGCGTATATATGGTAAAAACATGAAGTTATAACAGGAAGGTCACAATCATGAACTTGGACCTGATCAAGATTGTTTTCTGATGATGATCATGTTGGTGTTCAAGGTGATGAAAAGCAGTGTAACAGTGTGGAACAAGGCTTTGGTTTTGAAGGATGATGAAAGCAATGTGGTCTTAATGATGAACAAGGTTTTGATCTTGAAGACAACCACAGTGGTGTTTGTAATGATCCCCAGCAAGGTGAAAATTCCTAATACAAATGAACACATCAACTAACAGTGAGGTGGCTTTATAGAGCTGATATAGGAAATTGGGTATGTTGATGGTACCTGTCTATTTTACGGGATCAATATACCTGGAGTCTCAGTTCGTACTTCAGAAAATGGGTACAGTCGTACCTGGTACTGTATGAGGTGCATCTCTCCCATGTTCTAGGGTACGAACGGTCCGTCGGGTCTGGGTCATTCGCCATTCGTTCATCCACTTCGGAGTCTGCTTGACGCACCGAGCTCGCCGAGGCGAGCAGCGAGAATCTCCAACGCTCGGCGCGGAGTCCCGGTCGGTCTGGCGGTCCGTGCGGTGCCGGTAGGTGGAAGGGGCCAGCTCCAGTGACCAGCTTGAGACTTGACTGAATTCAGGGGCCATAGAAAATCAGGTCCCACAAAAACAAAGCACACGATCTGGTTTTTATATTATCAGATGAGGGTGTATCTCCCAAACAGCAGGGTGTTTTGATGGGTCAAAAGAGGTTTGACTCTTTTTGAGATGTCGGGACCCTGCCTTACATATCATATCCATCATTTGATTGCATGGTTTTGGATAGAAATATGCATGACCAGGACCTTCAGTACGTGACCATCCTTGAGTTCCTAGAATGAGGTCACTTAGTCCCTAAAGAGGTCACAAACAGAGACTCCAAAGAGGTCACGAACGGCTCAGGGATATGATCCCAACCGCCCGTCCTCCCTTCTGCCACCTGAAGACCGAAGCACAGACCGCACCACGACCCAGGCGGATGCGGCCCGCAAGGCCGAAGCGGAACGGCAAGCGCAAGCGCAAAAGGAGGTGCCGGCGACCGCAGACCGCGCGACACGTGAGGTCGAGAGTTGGATGAACATCCAGGTCGACCTACCATCCTGAGCAGTTTTTGTGACATGTCGACATGTCTAGTGACATGTTTTGACCTAGTGTGAGAGTGACCTAGTTACCTAGGTAACGGCGCCAGCGTTCGATTGACATTGGGGTCATCGATGACCGAGTCATGCCAGTTCAGGCAGGTGGGTGTCACACCCCATGGGGTACTTCGAGACATCTTCGGAAAGTATGGGATGCTGACTTCAAGCTGCTTGGACAATTGGGAAGATCGGAACTCAGTCGTAGCTGCTACTCGTAGCTGCTGTCGTAGAGGTCTTCCAGCCGTTTGCAACCACTCGTCCAAAGATACCAAGGCGGCGGCCCGTTGGAATACGTGTTCCTGTGCCGCAGGATCTTTGGGAACATCTTTGCTGGAACCTGACTTCGGGTGCCAGACCCAAAATAAATAGACCTCCCCTACCAAAACCATGGGTTCACCTGCACCTCTCCCTATACCAAACGTCACCTTCGCCACCTGGATGTCTTTTGTTGCACCTCCCTCGTCACTAAGAGGCAGGTACACCAACCTCTCATCTCCCTGGTGCCTCGTGAGCGGCTTCGGCGCGTCCGCCGTCTTCGCCAGGCCGAAGCGCGGCTCAAAGAAGAGGAGCGGCGGAAGCGCGAGCCGAGCCGGCGAGACTTGCACCGGGCTCTCCGGGCAGTCGACGACATTGGTGGGTGTGTGCCGTGCATTTCTTTTTTTTTGGGGGGGTGGTGACAGGGTGGTGTGGTGGATTTAGGGTTGTGGTGACTGTGCGGTGGCTGGAAGAATCTTCAGATGCAACGTGTGGATGTTGAAGATGTGGAAGTGATTTGGACATCAACTCACATGTCGACATGAAGTGTCGGAATGATAGCTGCTGCTGCTGCTCCCACGACCGCGGTGCGTCCCTCGGTTGGTGGACAGGACCAAACCAATGGACACCCATCCAGGATGGGAACGTCCCAACCCTCGCACGTCTCAGATCGTCTCAGTGCCGTTTTTGCTGCGTCGGACTGGATGTCGTTGAAGGTACGGGACGGCACGTTGTCTTTCAAACACGCCCCGCATGTGTACGGGACGTGTCTGCACTGGACGTGTCCAAATCGTGTTCAAATTGTTTCCCCAGTTTCGATTTCACCTTTTATGTAAGGGAAGCTACTAGTAACAAGTGCATCGCTTCTAGTAACAAGTGCCTTACTAGTAGTAACAAGAAGCTACTAGTAACAAGTGCTTCACCTTTTATGCAGGCTAAAGGACCGGAGGACTCTTTCTTGCGCAAGCCGGCTAGGCTCCCAAAAGGCCTCATCTTGTCTTGGGTGTGGCTTCCTGGGAGTGACCTTGGCACCTTGCCTTTTTCATTGGCTGCCCTGGAGCAGCGGGCTTGCGGGTGCTGGCTGCAACCGCCGTTTTGTTCCACTTCCGGACCCCCCAAAAAGGACCCTTTCTTGGACCTCGTTCGGGCGGGAGCAGTACTTAACCTCACGCCGCAGCCGCTGTGACCAAGCAGCACGGATGAGCAAATACTATTCCATGTGAGGCGGGGCAGTTGGGGCAGGAGTTGTTGTTGGATGTTGGGGTTAACCGTGAGTTGATGATCCAATGTGGATATCAAATTTGAAGTCACAGTCCTCAGAAATAGTTTTAGCTCCGATCCAATGTTCATGATGGGTGGTGTTTGGATTGGCATCCGGCTTTCTGTTCTGTGCCGTGTGCAATTCTTCGATCTCCGATGTCAACTACCATACATTACGGATCACCTTCGGAGTGATGTTCAATCCAAGCGGAAAAGACACTCGACACTCTCAGGTGCTGAGTGTCCTGCATTGTTTGCATTGTCTGCGGAGACACTGCAGAACCGGGTGTGTAGCGAAACAACACAGACCGAACCGCCGTGGGCACAGATCCCTAACTCGCACCCATCCTAGGCACCCACCGGCAGGAGCCCTATAGGGCCTAAGGGCACAGACACTGTTCATACCATAGATGGCCTTTTATTACAAGTTGGTTGATTGATAGAGTGGATACCCTAGTTGGTGTAACAACCGTAAATATTACCTGGCACTGACCCCATCTATTCTTCCCAATTCATACAGACACCACAGACTCCTTACACTGGTTCATACCACGATGTCTGTCTTTCCACACACACCCCACACAGCCCCTCACACCGCCAAAACCACCCGTCACCGCATTCTGTGCCGACGTCAGGCCGGCCATGGCCCAAATACCTCCCTACACCGATGACTTCTTCAAAGGTCTCCCGGCACGAGACCCGACCCGACCGGTCACCACATCACCCCACATCACCCCGCGCCATCAGACGCCGAGGCCGAGGCCGACGTCACGTGGTGGTTGGGTGGGAGGTGGTATCAGATTTGATGTGAAAAGCCATGTCGATGATGCAGTTTACGTAAGGAAAAACGTGCAAAAACAGATATGATTCGATAATCACAACCATGTTATGAGTAAAAACGTGTAAACACATAGTAGGTCATCACAGATCCATCATTTTCTCCTCATATCTTGTGCGTCTTCGTTGAACACCACCCATCCGGTCACCCATTCGGATGTTCTTACGCAAACCCTTCTTCACCCGCGCCGAGGTGAACCTGGGCTGTTGGCGGTCTTTGACTATGAGTACGAGGAGAGATGAACTACGCCAGTATGGTCCTAGTAGCGTCCGATCGCTCCGTTCGTAGTATGGCCAGGAGCCCCTAGTAATTAGCTTCTTGTTACTAGTAGCGATGCCAAGAGCCCCGTTCGTAGCGTCTTTAGAGCATCAAGACATCGGTGAAGCTTTGGAAGTCGTAGAATCTCCTGCCCACAATCTCCATGTTCATTTCTGAAGCAGAAGAGGATTGCGGGCAGGTACAGCATGAAGTCTTCACCCAACTCCCAGGAGTTTTCACACTCCCTGAAAGAATGTATGGTAGAAGTGGAGGTAATAGTGGCACACGAGTATGCACAAGCTGTTTGGTATGAGTTCAAGGTCATCCGAAACCGGGGCCATGCTATCCACGTACATGATTCTTTCAGGGAGTGTATACTGTATTCTCATGGGAGTATACATGGATCATCATTGATCAATATTGATCATATGTTTGTCTCCCTTTGGCTCTTCAGTTTTCAGCTCGATGTTGAAGCAGATTCAGAGAGTTGTCGCCCGTCGAGAGCGGTTCCATTTCGGGGGGCAGCCCAGAGATTAGTCGCAGTGACATAATTTTAGAATCTAATCGGTGTTTTTTTTAATAAGAAGACCCGCTGGCCATCTCTGGCCATCTCTGGCCCTGTGATCTATGTTCATCTATTTTCTGTCTTCTAAGGGGATCTAACTGGGAGGTCTCCCTAAATTTTAATACACACCCGACTTAAGAAACATATGTTGAATTCTTAGGACCTTCAGTTCGTGACCAAGCAGATCTCAGAGACGAACATGGAGGTGAAGTGCATGAAAACTTCTCGTCACGGGACCCTCGACTTCTCACAGACTCTTCTCATAGACTTGAAAACAGGTGTTCTTAATTCAAAAGAAATGGAACACTTGGAGAGTCGACCCGTTCAACCAAACTCTTCTTCTCCAAATCCGCCGCGTCCCGACGTCCAACGTGGAGTTCTTTTCTTCTTTTTTTTCGGTTCCAAGGAGATCATCGGTTTCTACCAGCGTTTGAGATGGGCGCAGTTCCTCTTCTTCCCTCCATCCTGGGTCTCGGTCCTCTGGCGCCTCGGAACGGTTGAGAACCACCCGAGCCGGTTCGGCGGGCCATTGGGGGTGAGGGCCAACCCGCCCAAACGGCGGAAGGGGGTGAAGTGGAAAATCGCAGGTCATGCTGGGTGAGTTTTCGACCAAGGGCCAAGGGCCGCGCCTCGTGGGCCTGGTGCGTTTTGTCCAAAGCTTTTGCCATTCGACTCCATGGGATCATGGATCCCAGACACGACACATGGGACTGCCATAGGACTGCCGATCAATTGACCTCCCTGGCACCACCCCAATTGATCGGCATAGATGGCAGTCCCATGGAGTGTATGGGTGGGATCAAGGATTTTACACAGGGGTATTTCGTTGGTGCTGGGCCACCGTAGAAAGGTTCTCCAGCTGGGGCTGTGATATCCAGCTGCTCCTAACAAATCCTAACAATGTTACATTTGCGCATGTTTGTTCTGGTGGTGCCACACATGGGCAGCAAAATCTGGGTGCTAGCATGTAGCCGCAGGGTCAGCTAGACTCAGTGGCAGAGTATATTGATTATACAGTGGTTTCAGAATAGATGGCACAGACCTCAAGATGTCTTTTACATGGGAATCCAAGCAAACCACCTTTTTGGGGTCTGTGATCTCTACTCTCAAACCACTATAGCTGACCAGTTAGCCCTATTTTCCCACCTCTCCACGAAACCACCACTTCGGTTGGATCCAGGTAGCCCCAGCCCGTCCTCCATCCTTGGGAGAGATCCGTTGCATGGAACCCCTCGCCCGTCCTCCAGTTGCACACCCTGCTTCTTGAACCAGAACATTGAATGGGACACCCGCTCTCGGCATCTTGCGCTCACGGTGGATGGCATCAAGTTCGTGTGCCTCGGTGGATGTGCATCCAGGGGACATATTCTATCCCAGACGCGACTTGTCTGGGACTGCCAGGACGGACTGCCGATCAATTGACCCCCCTGGCACCACCCCAACTGATCGGCATAGATGGCAGTCCCATTAGTCGCGTCTGGGTATGGAGGGACTTTTGAGGGGCTGGGAAGGGTATCCTCTGCTTTGCTCACTCAAACGTGTCCGGTTGGGACAGGTTGAGACGAGTCACCAGACCTACCAGCAGAAAAAGGGTCAGGTCACCCGAACGTTCGACTATCCGAACGTTGGGTACTCCTGGTTTTCCGGGTGAACGTTCAGGTCACTGGATACCTCTGTAGGTACCTGGAATCTGTGAGCTCCGCGACCGGTTTTGACCTGCGGATTCGACGAGGGTGACGTGACGTGACAGAAGGAGGGATTGGCGGAGTGGAGGAGGGGATTTCGACACGCCTGGTGTCAAAGCTTAGCAACAACAACAAACAGTTGCAAAGAAAGCAAGTTCAATTCACACTCTTGAGCGACAAACATGTTTCCGTGTTGTTTTGCATGTAACTGTTCTTCAGAACGCAATTTTGAACTTTGTCCTTTCCTTGACCAATTCCTTGAGCCAACGATGTGAAAAAATAACTTCAATCAAGGAAACTAGTTATAGGAAACTGTTTGGAAGACAAATACCTTACTCATGGACGTTTCCTAATTCTATAAAGGGTTTTGGAGTTACTGAGAGTATCAGAAGTGGAGTTGGGAGGTGACACAGCATGACAAGACCCTTCTCACTTGACGAAGAAAAGCTTTCCAGGAGCCAACATGGTACTCACCAGGATTTGAAATCTGGTTCCCAAGGCTTCATGAACCTGAGACCATGGGCGAATTAACATGGATTCATTGGTTTCTTCTTGAAACAAACCTTTTTTCCTGCGCAATAAAGAAGAGCAATGTGGCGGAATGAAGCAGTGGAACTCATTAGTTGTTTATCAGCCTTGGTAAACGAAGTCAGGTCCTTTCAGTCCAATCTCTCAGGTAGGCGTGGTCCTTGGTGGGCGAGGTCCTTGGTGATACCCTCCCACAACAGTTTTGGTTGGCCGTTCCGGTGATCGATGTCGCTCCTCCATCGATCGATGGAGGAGCGGGTGACCCGCGTGTCCAAGCGGTTTGGTTGGAAGAACGACACGACCCGTCTGGGACTGCCAGGACTGCCCCAGACAGGCACCACCCCTGGCACCACCACCACCCCTGGCCGTTTTGAAGGCAGTCCTGGCAGTCCCAAACGGGTCGTGTCTGGGGAACATCTTCCATTTCTCTCGGTGCCGGGTCCTCCGGGGGTCCAAGACTTGGATTGGTCAGACGGGAGACATGGGAGAAGGAACTTCCATGTGCCAGGGACGGTAAAACACCATACCAGGGACGGTGGTTTGGAGTGGGAGAAAAGTCAACAACAGTTCCATTATACAGGAATCATGATGGTGTTTCATAAAAAGGGATTTTGTTTGACACTTAGCAGTCGTAGCAGTATTCATCTCCAAACTGTTTTTCAAAACACTTGTTTGGGTGACAGACGACGGGTTCGCCGGACTGTGAGGCACGCCAAGAGGCCCACGCTGTGTGGTCTGTCGTGCACGGACAAGGGCAAAGAATCCAAGACGGCCACTTGGACGCGGACGGGGACGAAACGCAACCGTCCACCTACGCTTCGACGCTCCGTGGGTTCACAGCTCGACTGGTCCCGAAACCAAGCCCGGTCCGGGATTGGTTCGAAGGTCCGGCCCCTACTTAGGTCCATGAGCGTTTGGGTCCGAACTTAGTTCCACTTGTGGCCTCCTTATCCCTATGTTTCTGCCATACCCAAAGGTGAAGCTACTTAGGATGTAGGAAGTGATGTTGGAAATGATGTTGGGAACTATGTTTCTCCCAGTCCCCCCAGAGGTTAGGTGATGTAGTCCAAAAAAAGGACGTAAAACATGATGTCACATCATATGACGTTGGACAACTAAACTGTGAGTGGAGGACATTGCATTGAACGCATTGATTCATTTTTCATTTATGAACAAACAAGTCAAGGCCCAAGAGAGAGTCTATAGATGATTGAAGTCTGCAGAATGAATCTAAAGTTACCAGATAGATTGATTGACTCAATATGACTCAATAATGCTTCACCACGAGCACTGCCACACAGAATGAAAATAATCAAATGAATGCCTATTGGTAGTATTATTATCCTATTCCGATTCCACAGTCCACATTTCAATTTCCATTTGATCCGCGCGCAATGAAGCGCAGCAGCTTTGCAGCTTTGCTTGATGCCAGCAGCAATAGCTCAGATTCAGACACGACCCCTTCAGACACTTGTGCAAGACATATGCCCTAACCCAGGAATCTGAATTTAAGAGAGACAGGTAAACAAAGAGAGAGAGAGAGAGAGAGAGAGAAAGCGAGACAGTCAAGTCAGAGGCAATACAATATAATATAATACTCATGGACTCATGGGTAACAAACATAGTAACGGAGGCAAAGGAAGGTTAATGGGCACGTGACATATAAATAGATCGCGATAGACTCTGAGATAAATAAATGGCGAGACTGACAGCTAAAGCGTGGCAAGTTCAAGTTAGTGTTTGTTTGTTTGTGTGTTTGTGTGGTTCTGATAGTGTTACGGTGCAGCCATTCAGGAAATCTCAGAAGGAAGTGGCCGTGGCCATACAGAAACTCAAATTGATGATTCGGACCAGACCTCGGAATCTTGGGCCGCAGTACTGCATCACAATTCGCCCGACCCAGCCTTTGTTCAGCACGTGATTTATGTCACATGCTTGTACGGGATCAGGACCTGGAGGTAATCCCCAGAGCCACCAACCTACAGTCAGGATTTGAACAGAACGTAAATCTTTAAGCTAATAGATCATGGACCAAGTGATCAGGCCTTTGTCACACGATTGTAGGCAGTTAGGTTGAGATGATTTACAGCTGCACTTTGCCTTGTTACTTCGGTGCTCAGGTGAAGAGCGTTGACAGCCAGCCAATGTTCAGCTTGTTCCCACGAAGCTGGGTGCCAGAGCGCCTTGGCAGAAATTCAAGAATATGGCCCATACGTTCCGACATGTTGGCAGTGCGGCAGAGCTATTGAATTTTCCGACATGTTCCTTACAGTCGTTAAAGGCTTTCCGTTTCTTCTGACCCAGCCGAAAAGGTACTTCAGCTTGGCTGGCCTTGGCCAGGACTGCCTGAAAGGAACATCGCTTCTTGGCAGCATCAGCAATCAGCACAATTTAGTGCAATGCGTTGGCACAAAGTCGCCAGGGTCAAGGACCCAAGTTTCAAGTAATTTGGTTCGGAGTCGGAGTGACAGTTGGCTCGGAGTGACGGAGTGACTGAGTGAGAGCTAAATAGCTATGGCTATATCTCAGTCTTTTTGCAGGGTGCCGGGTGGCTGTTGCAGTGACTTGTCATTTGTCATTCCACCAGCTTCGATGGACACTACAGGATCCGGGTCTTTGGCGCATGTGAAGGTGCTGGCACTCTCGGCTACATCTTGTGCCCAGGCTTCCTATTATGTCGGGTTACTGATTTGATAACAGGCCACTCGCTACTAGTGAGTGACAGTAGTCACTAGTCACTACTATATAGTCACTAGTCACATCTACTGGAAATGCTGACCTGCTGCTTCAACTGCCAACCCATTTGGAACCAATCTGAGCCATTCCCAACTAGATAAATATAATGTACTGTATATAATTGTATCCTACAGATTCGATAACCTTTTATGGCTGGGCTGTCACCCAAGGAAACACATTGCTGACTTCTCTGGCGTCGACGTGGAGGAATTGTTCTCCTACGAGATCAATCCCAAGAACAGAACTCATTGCCTACGCAACGGACAATGTATTTTGTTGGCAGGGAGACATAATGCAGATTGAGAAAGCGTGTTGGAACCTTGAGCTTCAGGTCAGAAGGTGGAAGGTGGCAGGCAAGGTCTTTCAATTTCAAGTTCAACTCCAGAGTAAGTTAGTAAGTCAAAGAGTCAGGAGAAGTCAAACACTTTTTTCCGGAACAATTGAATGGGCAAGCAGGATGCACAGCACAGTAGTGAACGCAAAACAGCACTTTTAATTTAAAGGAACGTAGAAGACTCAGCCCCAAGCGGACCATAGCAGAGTAGATAGTGTTTGATGCGCTGAATCCTCACTATTTCGGGTTACGGGTTTATTTGTATGGTTAAAGCCACCGTCTTGACTGAGGGCAGCATTTCTATAGTGACGTCACTGCAACTGGCGCCTGTCACTGTTACATTTGCGAGGACACACATTCGCAAGACGTTGTGCTTTGGTTTGCAGCAAGGGTGAGGTGAGGTGTTTGTATCCCGCTTTAACGTGATTTAAAACTGACATGACATGCGAATTACAAATGAATTAATCAATGATCAAATATGAGCAATGTCACTGTCTGAGTTTTTGTTTGAGCAACCGACTGAGTCTACAGTCTACAGTTAACTGGCCCAGTATTGTAACTGGTAACCCTATACTATAGGCCCGGCCCTACCTATAACTTATAACTTATAGACTTTAATATACCGACCGTTGCCGACGTAACTTTAACAGTTTTCTAGAGTCTACACGACTACACCTACACTACACTATATACAAGCGTCAAACTTAAATTTGAACTGAACGTTGAACTAAGGCTGTACATGTGTTCACAGAAGGATTGGTACAGTTCTTGCTCAAACAAGCTGAGGATGCACAAGATTCCGACCTTGCAGTCATAGGGATACCTTGTCCTCTCTTCTCAGTGCTCAACCAGCGGAAGAGGACTGTTGAACATTACAATCCCTTCACGGAGACCCTTGGCACTGTTTTGCCACAAAGGGTGGGGCCTGGAGTAGAAGTTCACAAGCCACAGACCTTTGACCTTGACTCACCACTCACAACTCTGGTAGTCTCAATTCTTCAAGCTGAAGGCTTCCGGCTGAGGCTTAAACTGAAAACTTGCCGAGCACAGTGAGAAAGTGTGACTCCACTCATTTTTACACTATATATACTGTACTGTACTGTCAGTCTTTTGATTCGCAATCGTAATCATATTGAATCGTTCTGAATTATTGAACCACTGACTCATGACTGTATCACTATGTATGGTGGGCCTTTGTGGCGCACAGTGGGCAACCAGCTAAGGAAAGGGTCCTCTGTCGTGATGTGCAGCCTGAGCTTGGTCCGTGAACGCAACCCGCGAGCATTGATCATCGAGGAAGTTACTTTGGCAAGCACTCCGTTTCAGCTGACACCCAGGTGATTTGTGGGGTGACTCTCAGCACACAAGGTGTACCTGAGTGGTGGGGAGAGCTCAAGACGTTATGCAGCAATCAGTATTGTTTGATTCACCTTTCAACTTAAGGCAATGTTTTGAGCAGAGTCTAGTGGTGATTCAGGGGTCTGAGTGCGGATCTAGATTCATTGACCCAAGCAAAGGAATAGCAATCAGAATCAGAAGCTTAATCTGTAGTCTTGATCATTGATGCGAGGACTAGGACTAAGAACTAAGAACTTGAACTTTCTTTGTTGCTACTAGTTACTGTTGGCAAGTTGCGTGGTTATGTCAGTGAGTTGTGTGACGTGTGTCTTTTGCATGGCTCACATTCCAGGATACGGGCTTTTCGTGGCAGTCCCATCCAAATCCAAGGTATGTGGAATACTCACACCTTTCTCACCTGCTTTGCCTCCGCCCTGGGACGTGTATGAGGTGTGGGATTCAGCACTTTGCGCAGCACTTGTTTGTCGCTATGCCCCGTTCTCACAGCAGTTTAAGCAACCAGCACTACTCACAGTACTGTGACAGTAACGGTAGCGCTCCAAAGCTCATGGTCTTCATTTCGCCATTTTTGCTCTGGAGGTAGCGCAGGTGGTAAACGGGCCTGTGAACCAACAGACACTTTAGCTTTTGCATGGTTTGTAGTTTGTATTGTATAGTCAGTGTCAGCATACGTCTATGTCATTTATGTGGACTGTCTGTGTATAGCTTGACTCAACTTGAAAATCAATACTTCACTCCAGCGGACCTCAACCAGCCATCCAAAAACCACATCAGCTGCAGCTGAATCAAAACAGCGAGACAAGAAAGACAGAGAGAGAGAGTGAACGAGATAGAGATGATAGAGACCACATCCACACTGTCACAGCGGCCTACATCAAATTATATATTTTCACACATACATACATACGTTACATACTGTTACATACATACTGTTACATACATGCAGGGAATGCAGCTGGCTAAGCCATGCCGCTCCACCTGCAAGACTCCGCCTCTGAGGAAGACCTATCCTCAAACAAAAGCAGTGAAAGTGAAGGTGGCATAGACAAGTCGTCTGCGGCACCAACTCAAGATTCAGATTCAGATGTTGACTCTGTGAAACAACTACAAAATTACAGTGGTTCACAAGATTCACAAGAACCTCATGGGGACGCAGACTCTACTACCTCAGAGACTGACTCCAGGGAAGCAGAGAGATTGGCTGCAATTCGGAGGGGCCGAACTGCAAAGGCCAGGGCTGCTGCAATAGTCTCAAAAACAATGCGGAGGATGGCCCGCCATGCAGTTCATCAGTATCCAAGTCATCCAGCCAATGAGTACCGCCAGGACATCACCTCCAGAA